ATCACGATCCTCCAGAGGGACGGGTGGATTTTTCCGTGACACACCTCGTACCTCTTGCAAAAGGCCAGTATTACTGGATCTACTGGGCCAATGTGAAGGGGTAAGTGTAAACACTCAAATACCCCTCCACGTGGGTAATGATATCATCCTTAGGTCCTTGCCTTCCCATTCCTTAAATACCCTACACTTAAACCACGTCCTTGCCTTCCCATTCACTGTCCTCTCGGACTATGAGAAGGGTATCTTTAGTGAAGCAGCATATGTATCTTCATGCTCCTTCACCTCGGTCTTGTTTGATGGAGGCTTTCTCGACCTTGAAATCGTCCCTGATAGAACAACTCCCGGGTATGAAACTTTCATAGGAGGCTCTGAAAGCACCTCCGGGACATCCACCTCGACATCTGCGGCCGGGTGGGAAGATGAAGGGGTTGATTGCTGTGGTACGAACTTGGAAGTTTTGGCCATCGTAAATCTGGGAAAATATATGAAGATTTGAAGAAGGCGTATTAAGATTTGAAGGTTAGAAGTAAAGATATGAAGTTTTAGGTTGAAAATACAAGAAAAAATGTGAAGGTTTGAAGGTTCAAGAAGCGAGGTATGAAGATTTGAGAAAGTTGAAAGCCTTTATAAAGTTCGAAGGTAAGAGCTAGGATCAGAAAGTGAAAGAAATGAAGGGGGTCGAAGCTTTTACAGGGGGAATGTAATTAATACGCGACTTTTCACATTCTAAGGCAACCAACCGATGATCGACATGTGTTCAAAGTCTGAACAACGTGATTGATGCGACGTTTCGGCTTATCCGTCATCTCGGTTGTAACGTGCGAAGGAAGGAACCGGGGTTCATCTATCGTTTCCCATCATTTCGGCAAGCCTACTCTCTAGGAAACGAGGGGACTATCTGTATACGGGTAAAATCGGAGGTAACATACACCTCGATTTCTCGATGGGTCAAACGAAGCAAAGGATATGAATACACAGGATCAAATCTGAAGCTGAGAACTTCTTGTACCAAGGCCCGAACGGAATGCTCGCCATCGGACTTGAAAAAATGACGCTCCCCAGACCCGGGATGGGTTCTGAGACTTTGGGAAGCGCATGACCGGTGGTAGGCGGCGGATAGAGGGATGTGATATCCAGAACCAGCTAGATATCACGGCGCGGATCTCGCTCGATGGCGGTTACAGATCAGTAATTAACGAGATAAGAGGTTTTTTACTTTTTTATACTTGTATTAGGGGTGAAACTCCTACTATATAAAGGGGAAGTTTTTTCTTTGATAAGACACATTGTAACACGCATACCAAGGCACTACAAATTTATTTCTCTGCTTTCTAGCTATCAAAAAGTTCTTATTTTATTGTTGTTCTTCATATACATCTGGCTTCGAACCAAGGGTCCGATTGAGGACAAAATTACCGTTCAGCACAAATACGAGCCCGGACGTAACATAACAATTGGTTTGGTTATTCATTCTATAGTTAACAAAATTCACTATTCTCTCGGACTGTAAGAAGGGTATCTTTAGCGAAGGAGCATATGTATCTTCATGCTCCTTTGCCTCGGTATTGTTTGATGGAGGCCTTCTCGACCTTGAAATCGTCCCCGATAGAACAACCCTCGGGTATGAAGCTTTCATAGGAGGCTCTGAAAGCATATCGGGGACATCCACCTCGACATCTGTGTCCGGGTGGGAAGATGAAGGGGTCGATTGCTGTGGTACGGACTTGGAAGTTTTGGCCATCGTAAATCTTGAAAAATATATGAAGATTTGAAGAAGGCGTATTAAGATTTGAAGGTTAGAAGTAAAAATATGAAGTTCTAGGTTGAAAATACAAGAAAAAACTTGAAGGTTTGAAGGTTCAAGAAGCGAGGTATGAAGATTTGAGAAAGTTGAAAGCCTTTATAAAGTTCGAAGGTAAGAGCTAGGATCAAAAAGTGAAAGAAGTGAAGGGGGTCGAAGCTTTTACAGGGGGAATGTAACTGATACGCGACGTTTCATTTTCTAAGGCAACCAACCAATGATCGACATGTGTTCGAAGTCTGAACAATGTGACTGATGCGACGTTTCGGCTTATCCGTATCTCGGTTGTAACTTGCGAAGGAAGGAACCAGGGTTCATCTATCGTTTCCGATCGTTTCGGCAAACCTACTCTCTGGGAAACGAGAGGACTATCTGTATACAGGTAAAACCGGGGGTAACATACACCTCGATTTTCGATGGGTCAAATGAAGCAAAGGATATGAATACACGGGATCGAATCCGAAGCTGAGAACTTCATATACCAAGGCCCGAACGAAATGCTCGCCATCGGACTTGAAAAAACAACGCTTCCCGGACCCGGGATGGGTTCTGGGACTTTCGGGAAGCGCATGAACGGTGGTAGGCGGCGGATAGAGGGCCGGATCTCGCTCGATGGCGGTTACAGATCAGTAATTAACGAGAGAGGAGGTTTTTTACTTTTTTTAGACTTGTATTAGGGGTGAAACTCCTACTATATAAAGGAAAAGTTTTTTCTTTGATAAGACACATTGTAACACACATACCAAGGCACTACAAATTTATTTCTCTACTTTCCAGCTATCAAAAAGTTCTTATTTTATTGTTGTTCTTCATATACATCTGGCTTCAAACCAAGGGTCCGATCGAGGACAAAAATACTGTTCAGCACAAATTCGAGCCCGGACGTAACATCACAATTGGTTTGGTTATTCATTCTATATTTAACTCGTTTATCTAACATTCTTGAGTATTTGTGTTGAATCAATCCACATATGCTTTTTAAAAACGCGTATAAATTTAATTGTTATCCATTTTAAGAGTAAACACTTTTAATTTTCAGAAAATATGAAGTTTATTGGCGATGGCAACTTTTTATGATTGACGATATAAACCATCTGTGAGGGGAAACGGTGGCAACTCTTCAGGCTAGCATCTTAGGCGTATGAAGCAAGTTTCGTGATTAATTTCATTTTAAAAAGGTTTAGAATACTTAGTGGGCGTTTGGACATAAGAATTGTAAATTTCTAAAAAATAGTGGAAAAAATTTTCATGTGAAAATGATCTTTGAAAATTAGAATTGTGTTTAAACATGAATATTATTTTGGGTTATTTTTGAAGTTTTGTGAGTGATTTGAGTGAAAATTTTGAAAAGCAGTTTTTTGGTGTTTTTTAAATTTTCGAAAAATTCCAAAATTATTTTCAAGTGAAAATTAAAAATTTTTTGGCCAAACACCGATTTAAAAAAAAGTAATTTTTTTTATGTCCAAACGGGCTCTTAAGTTAATAAAAGAGTAAAAAGTACTTTCTCCGTTTCAAATTAGATGAGCTACTTTCCTTTTTAGTTCCAAAATAAATTACACATTCCTAAATTTGAAAATAATTCAAATTTAAACTCTTTAGTTTACCCATTTTATCCTTAATGATAAGCTTTTATAACCACACAAATATCATAAACCCACAAAGCTTTTATCCCTTAAGATTTTAAGACCACAAGTTTCAAAAGTATTCTTCTTTGTTTTTTTTTAAAAATCCGCGTCGAGTCAAACTACCTCATCTAAATTGAAACGGAGGGAGTAATTTAATATTTGACTTGAGGGCTTACTATTTTTAATATAGTATAAAATAGGGCCACGTATGACTTTGACCGCGTATGAAAAAATGTAATCAAAGAGAATTATTATTTGACCAAGTATGGAAGTGCAAGGTAAAAATAGCATGGGCTAGACAGTTTTCGGACTAGTCATTGAAAATTAGCCAGCGTTTGCAAAGTCATTGAAAAATAGCCACTATTTTGCTGCAACACGGAAAGTTTCACCATAATATACTGGAGATTGGTGCACCTGTGTATGAACTTCCAGCATATTATGCTGGAACTCCAACACGCGGAAAGTTCCAGCATAATATACTAGAGATTGGAGCACCTATGTATAAACTTCTAGCATATTATGTTGGACCGGTATATTATACTGGAACTCCAGTATATTATGCTGGAAGTCCAGTATATTATACTAGAATTCCAGTATAATATACTGGAGTATACTTATGCTGGAACTCCAGTATATTATACTGGAGTTCCAATATATTATACTGGAGTTCCAGTATATTATACTGGAATTTATGTATATTATGCTGGATTATTTTCCGGATTTTGAACAGTATTTTCGTTCAGATTTATCTTTACATAAAAAGTGGCTAAATTTCGATTACTTTTGAAACTGTGGCTATTTTTGACTGACCACTTAGGGGAGAAATTCAAAAATAGCCAGATTTACCACTGGTCGTTGAAAAATAGCCAAGTTTCAAAAGTCATCGAAATTTAACCACTTTAAATCTGAGCGAAAACACTGTTCAAAATCCGGAAAAATACGCCCGCAAATTTTACGGGAGTTCCAGCATAAGTATATTTGAACTCCCGTAAATTTTACGGGAGTTCCAGGATAACTATGCTGGAACTCCCGTAAATTTTACGGGAGTTCAAGTATAATTATGCTGGAACTCCCGCAAATTTTACGGGAGTTCCAGCAAGTATAATTGTCCAGTATAATATACTGGAGTTTGGAGCATTGGTGCTCCAGTCTCCCGCAAATTTTACAGGAGTTAGCAAAGTATACCGGTCCAGCATAATATGCTGGAGTTCGTACACAAATGCACCAGAACTCCCGTATATTATACTGGACCGGTCCCTGTTGCAGTAAAATAGTGGCTATTTTTCATTGACTTGATAAACGCTGGCTATTTTTCATTGACCAGTGTGAAAACTGGCTATACCATGATATTTTAACTATAAATTTGGCTATTAAGTGCAAGTAGTACTACTCCCTCCACTTCAAATTAGATGACTTATTTTTCTTTTAGTTTATTTCAAAATAAATGATACATTTCTAAATTTGGATGTAATTTAACTTTAAACTTTTCATTTTACTCTTAAAATTTTTATAACCACCCAAATATTGTGCCCTCGCAGAACTTTTATCCAGACCAAAACTATTCTTTTTTTTCTTCTTCTTAAATTCTGTGCCGCTAGTGTCATATAGAATCTGTACCGTAGGTAAATGTAAATTTCATAGAAGAGAAGTTACTCGCTCCGTGAGATCAACCCAGCTATCTTCTAAGTTCTACCCCTCTGCAATTTCAGCTCTTTTTCTTTCCATTACTTCGCAATTGAAGTCTCTGATAAGTGAGAGTTAACTGAGAACTTGGTCTACAATCAATTTACGGACTTGAAAGAAAGAATTTCAAAGAGACATTCACGAAAATGCTAGGAAAGGGAAGTCAAACACCTAGCCGGTGAGACATATATTTCATAATTACTTATTGGCAGTTCATTTCTGGTCCGGGTATAGTGATAGTAAATTAACTTCTTTTTTTTTGGGTGGTATTATAGGAATTTGTGTGATACTTACAAGGTAGCTGGGAATTGGTAACTTATTCTGTTTACTTATAAATTGAAAACAAGTAATGAACTTGCTCGATTAGAACTACAAAATCACGGACTTAGCTAAGAAAGTATGTTATGGAACCAAGATGCCAATTCCTCTCCTATTTGCCGCAAATCTTTTTAGCTTAAGTAAAGATTTATATCGAGTATCCAAATGAAATGGTACCCAACAAATAGGGAGGATTAATATTGACGACCCCAACTAAGGTATAGTAGAATCACAAACTGCTTAGTGTTGTGTACTGAACCAATGTAGCATTTGCTGCAGTTTTTTCAGTCCTTTAATTTGATAACAGAATGGAATGATTCTTTGCTTATTTGTGTAGTTTTACCTTTTATCAAAGTAAGAATTCCTTCCTTAATGGTGCTTTGCAATCTTTACCTTCCAGGATTTTAAGTCAATATTGCTTCAGCTTCCGCTGGAAATCAACTTATGTATTTATTCATTGAGTTGATCCGCATTGGATGATAAAAGTAGAGAATCAAAATGATTTGATTTTGTCCTATTGGTTGTTATTTGCTTCGTCCTCCATCTCTAGATAGTACCTGATTATGAATTTGTACGTGTGTTGTAGGAAAACAAAGGATATTATATTCTTTGTTTCTATTTGTGTTGATTTGCCTTTTTCAAGTCCAACCACTTTGGCAGGTCTGAATTACTGTCTATGGTAAAGAAGCATTCGGAAATGTTAGGGAAAACCACTGTGGACGAGGAAGATGCTACGGATGTTGAAGTGGATCCACGCTTCTGGCATGATGTTATGGATTTGTATTTTATTTGTGGCAAGGAGTCTCGGGGACGTCAGGAAGATGATCTTGTTTTCTTTGTTAAAAGAACCGTACAACTTGTTACATAATTCTCCCCATTATCTTGGTTTTTAGGTTGCAACCCGCTGAAACTGAATGAGAGTTTGCTGAATGTGAATTGCTCTAAGGTTATCTTTTGGTGTAAAATTTGCAGGGAAATGAGTCAAATGAATATGTCGATGACAACTCTCCATACTTTGTTCGCAGGTGGGCACCTAAGGTAAAAACAACATAGTTTTCCTTTTAGGTTTAGTGCACATCAATTTGCAATCTGCCTTTGATTGATTACTCAAATAGTCAAACTTATTTTATTCAAGTCTTAACTATTTGATCATATGATGTACATCCACTAGACTGTGAGTCTATGTTGGTTAACCAATTGGGATATTTATGTGAATCATCAGTGGTGGTCCAATTGTGATCAAAAGCTGGTGGCTCGTGAACACATTGTTGGTAGATAAAAAGGAACAAAAAAATTTTGGGAGACTGGAAGAGAGAAGGAAAAAGAGCAAAAGATTGACAGGTCTAATGGGGGAAGAATGGCTGACACGTTGACTGCCTTCGATACTAGAAAAAAAAACCCAAGCGGTCTAACCTAACCCCCAGGGCGGAACCCAACCGAAAGGCGCTAGACGGACTAAGGGCAAGCGAGATAAAGAAAGCGGGACGTAAGCGCAACGGTAAGAAAAAGTCACTCAGTGAATCGGTGGATCACACACTTGGAGACAGGGACAGGGGCGCACAATAGATCGATATGAACATCATGAGCTGCCCCGTAATAAAACTAGTTTAGTAGCGACATAGCATTAGTCAGTAGCTTAACTAAAACAAAAATCAAAAGCATCAGGATCCAATATTTTAAATTTCGATCATGTATTGCCTAGTAAAAGGTGGGGTAATAACTTGGGGCAATTATGTGAGTAGCCTTTGAATATAAAGTTGAACAGGTTTAGGTTTCATCTATAATTTCTGAATTGTTGTTGTAGATTATCTTGTTTGTCGATCCGTTGTAAAATTCTTCTTTGGCTAGACTGATGGTTAAACTGGATTATCTCTTGAAACTTGTTTGGCTAAACACGAGTCTTGTGCATATGTAAGAGTATAGGCTGATACTCATGTCAAAACAGTATTAAGAAGTCGAGATTCCTGGTTAAGATAAAGGCGAGTCAACTTTGATTCAAGTAAATTGAGAACAGGAAAAAACATGCTCCATAGCTTTACTTGAAACAATATAAGCACGGCTGAAACAATTATTAGTGATTTGAAATATGCTTTAGCATTTTAATGTAAGTAAACATGTTAATATAATATCATAATCATAGCATCCAAGCAAGACATTTGAACGTTGGCCAAAATAAACAACTCATCAACACAGGCATGAACTTGTTCCTATATGCAAGGTTGTAATACACGTATTGAAGGCATTTTAGGAATCTGAAACTCATCTATCTTTATCTAAAACGTGCTTATTTCAATAGAAATCATGCTAGTGTAGCAGTACTCCTTTGTGCCGCGGAAGAATTCTTCATGTAAGAATGCACGGGAGAAAAATCTATTTTATTAACAATGAGCCCTATACATAATACATATTCTACTCCCACTATGTATGAGACTAGGACATATTTTATTCCTACTACATATGAGACTAGGACATATTCTACTCCTACTACGTATGTGACTAGGATTATTTATACATAACTATCTAACACTCCCCCTCAAGCCGGTAATATAAATCATTTGTACCGAGCTTGTTACATATGTAACTAATATGAGGACCAGTGAAGGACTTGGTGAAAATATCTGCAAGCTGCCAAACTCCTAGATAACTGTGCTGAACTTAACCAGACTCGAGGAGACTGCTCTCACGCTACTAGACTCCCCCTTAGCAACAAAACTAGGTGGTTGCTGATAAACAGAAGTTGACTGAAAAGTCGCTTGAGAAACTTGAAAATAGTGAGACTAAGATGAATTCCATACTACAAATAGGTTCTAAAACACCACCAGAAAACAGAAACTTTTCTGGAAGTCATTGTTCACGCCGAAAAAAATAAAAGTTATCAGAATTTGATGTAATTTATATGGGTAGGCTCGGAATCACTGGACGAGTAAGTTGTCCTGAAGAAGTTTTGTCAAAAAGTGGCCGAAATAGCTCACACGAGCCGAAAAAGTTAATGTAGCTCAGCGGAAAATTCCAAAGTTCTAGGAATCTGTAGGAAATTGTACTAGTGGACTCGAAATCACCCCACGAAACAGATGTCCTAAAGAAAACTTTGAAAATTCTGGCCGGAAAATTCTCCACACGCCGGCGCGTGTGTCAAACGCTCTTGCTTGGAACCCTAGTTCTGGAGGCGCGTGAGGGACTCTCTGCCGGAGCGATTGACTGGGGTATTGTCGTCTGACTTTTCCGAACAAGATGGTAGTGCTGGTTTTTGCGCAACACTTATCGATGAGGAGATAACGCAAATCAATCTTGAGTTGTCAACCGGAAAGACGCACGGTGACTGACTTTTCTGTTCCGATGGGACTGGGATTTCTGGGGTTTGGTCGCACAAGGGTTCGGATCTAATGGTGGTAGTGGTATATGCACAATACCACTGAAGCAGTGATGAATCCAGGTGATGAGTTGTTCCACATCGATGGGATTTAAGGTCATTGGTCTCCTTTTATGGTCTTAAGCAATCCTCATCTCATAAGCTAGCTTTTAAAGTTGAGTTAGGCCCAAGGTCCATTTATCATGGTATTAGAGCCAGGCCCATCCCAATTATTGTTACCGATGTTGGGCCCCTATTTATATTGTCCACGCTCCAGTTTGCAGGCCTGGGCATGGGGTTGGGGGTGGGGGTTGTTGATTTGTCCCACATCGGTTGGATTTGAGGTCCTTGATCTCCTTATATGGTCTTGAGCAATCCTCACCTCATAAGCTAGCTTTTGGGGTAGAGTTAGGCTCAAGGTTCATTTATCACCAGGGAACAAGACAAAGTTGCCGTAAAATTGCACGGCGACGAGATCTTTCTTTTCCGATGCCGCTGGAATGATGCACAACGATAATTTTCTCATTGAAGCTCTGATATCATGTGAGAATGTATGGGAGAAAAATCTATTTTATTAACAATGATACAATGAGCCTTATACATAATACATATTCTACTCCTACCACAGTACATCTACCCTCCCCAGACCCCCACTATACATTTAGCTGAGGGTCTTTCGGAAACGGTCTCTCTGCCCTCCAGGGTAGGGGTAAGGTTGCGTACATCCTACCCTCCCCAGACCCCACTTGTGGGATTACACTGGGTTGTTGTTGTTGTATTCTACTCCTACGATATATGGGACTAGGACAAATTCTAATCCTACTACATATGGGACTAGGACATATTCTACTCCTACTACACATGGGACTAAGATTATTTATACATAACTATCTAACACTTTAGCTGAAGGTATCCTCTCTGTAAATCCAACACGGCTCCAGAGCTTCATCTTCAGCGTCGTGGAAGAGTTCTACCAGCTTGGTCAACCTTTCTGTAAAAACAGTTCAATGCAACACTTTGCATTATCATGTCGCAGTTGCCCGTCATTGACCCTTAAGGCCACAGCTACTGCGGCGGGGTAAGCTTAGCAACACATAGCAGTAGCTACCCTTGCTTCTACCGTGATGCGGTACTTCTTCCTAGCGCACTGCAGGACTGCACCAGCTTTACTTGCCTGGTTTTTCTTCCAAATTCCACCTATTTCCATTCAACACTTATTGAATTATTACCTCAGGCTTTAGGCAAGTTCCATACAATATTTGGGATCTGTTTGGGGGTACAGGGCACTACAGATTATTACCTAGAGGCTACGTCCTTCAGTCTAAAATTGATAATACATTTGATATTAAAAAACTAATTTGACAGACAATTTATAGCAGTTCTGTTATTGCTAAAATTATTCACAGAAATGATGGTTTTTTCTAACTTCTTTTCCAGGGTGACATGGTGGTATAATTGAAGATGTATGAATTGAGACCGTTTGAAAAAGTTGAGACTATTAGTAATTTATTTACTTTACGTCTGCTAGAGACGCGATCAATTGATGTCAGTGCTTCGTCATTTACCTTTGTAAGGACAAAAATGATACTCCCTCTGTTTCAATCTATATTCGGAAACAACTTAACTTTAAACTTTCCCTTTTACCCATTTTACCCTTAATACGAACACTTTTATAGCCGCACAAATTGAAAGCCCTAAAAAAGCTTTTACCTTATAAGCTTTTAAGACCACAAGCTTCAAAAGTCCTCCTTTGTTTCTTAAACTACGTGCCAAGTCAAACTATGTCACATAAATTAAAACAGAGGGAGTACTTTATAAGGTAACAATTTTCTAATTTATTATTCTCCTTTCAGTTGGATGACTTAATTGGTGGGAATTCATCGGACGTGGACTGGAGGCGCTCATTTTACTTGAATTTAATTTCTCAAACTTCTTTTAGTGTGACAGTCACAATTTACAGGTAGTAATCTTTTGTCCAGAATAGGTTATTTTAAAACTTTTCTTGCTTATGGCGGTAATTTCTCTTCTATCATAGGCAATGTTTTATCAAAAAAAGAAAGTTGCATGAACCTTTAGTGATGCAGGATTTCTGAGTAATAAGGCATTCTTTAGCATACCCTGCAAAATTTTAAATTCTTTCTTCCAATTGACCAAATTTGGCTTTTGATCGTAGTTGAACTTGTGTTCTTAGTTTTGCACTCACCAGGATGTAAATCGCAGCTCCTAGATCAGTTGTTCATATCAGCTAAAGATTAACAATCTTCTTTTCTTCTCACTATAACAGTTTCTGCTTTGCCTTTTTCTTTGTTTGTTCTTTGGTAGTCACCAGGTCCTTATGAATTACCAGAATGGCAAAGACGGACCGTTATCTCCTATATACAAGGTAATTATGTAGAACAGAAAGTTTATGTTTCTTGTTTCTCCGTCTTATTCTCGCTTTTCAAGCAGGATTCGTGAATAAAGTCAACCTGTCCATGTAACAATAACTAAATAAAAAAAGTCAACTTGTCCATGTACGTTGTTTTAGAAATTCAAATGAGTCTTTCCATCAAATTTGTAAATTCTCATTAATTAATAGATGTGAAGGAACAAAATCTTAATAAAGTGAGAATTTTCTCTACGAAATCTAAAGGAAGTTAAAAAAACCAAGTTTAGAGAACAAATTATACCGGCCTATGGACATGTACAACATTTGCATGTGACTTTGATGGTCATTTGCTTCTGTGTTTTCGTTATCTTTCACTGAAAAATTCTCATCATCCAGAAGTGGATCCTGTATTTAAATATTCCAATGAAACGGGTCCGAATGAGCAAAATAAATAGTGAGGATCTATATAGCCACACCCAACTAGTGTAGGGTTGAGGCGGAGTTGTTGTTTTTGAATCAAACCTGATTGCATCTTCTTTTATTTATTTCCTGTTTTCAGGTTGTCAAAACAGTCTACGCATCTCCAAGTCGTATCAAAATTCACTTAGACTCAAGGAAGGCAAGACCTTCTGACATCTGGAGATCTATATATAATCCATTTATGCTTTTGATTAAACTGTCATCTAATGACATTATTGATTAGCATTCAGGAAGTAGAAACCACGCCAGCCTATCCAGAGATATGCTTTGCCATTGACGACTTTGATTCAACCTTTGGTGCAGTGGTAGCAAACGAACTTTCAAACCACATTTTTTTGCAAACTCTGTGATAGATTATTTGGATTGATTACTAGAAAAATTGTATTCTATACTTGGAACCTTTGTAACTTCAGTTATTAATTATTATTTCCTCTTAAATGCTTACCGATCCGTGGTATTTATTTAATCATTAGAATCAGTAACTCACCCTTACTTTCATGCTCAGTTCTTATTTGTGACATTAGATTTACATTTTTGGAGCAATCATCTATTGAGGGATCACTAAGATGAAACTATTGCAATACCCTTTTGCATGTAGGACATGTACAGTGTGTTTTGAACATTTATTACAATTTTAGAATATATCACATTTTATCAACTATGTTATGTAGTCTATTTCATGTGTACATGTTTAGGTTGCAACCGTAAAAACTTTGCTTTATCTTTAGGCGAGGGTCTTTCGGAAACAATCTCTCTGCCCTTCCAGGGGTAGGGGTAAGGCTGCGTATAATCTTACCCTCCCCAAACCCCACTTGTGGAAAACTACTGGGTTTGTTGTTGTTGTTGTAACTTTAGGCGCGGGCAGTGGCATTTTAATCATGCAGTTTCTAGTTTAGCGTCAATGTTTCACAGTCTGATTGCACTGTTATCATTAGTCAATTTTAATTTTCTATTGTTCCTAGTTAGACATACTCTAATTATAGATGTCAGATCTGAGTGGTGTTCTTGTTTCTCTGTTGTGGGTTTTTAATGAACTTTGTGCTGTAGCTCACGAAATGCAATTTCTTCTCATGCTTATAGTATCCTGTAAGCCATTTTCCCTTGTTTTGTTTAATATATAGCACCATTAACTTACTGTAAAATCATTCCGTATAATAATGTGTATATATTACTCTTATTAACAAAACTAAGCAGTTTGAACCCTTTTACCCACGGGCAAAGCCGGTGCTTCTTGATTCTCAAAGATTTTAAAAAGTGTCACCTGAACTGAAGTTTTAGGCTTTACATTTGTTGGTGAACTTTTAATATTATTACTATTTTTCTTATTACTATATATATATAGATAAAACTTATTTTCACTACTACTCTTCTTTTATTTTGGCATGATGATGATATGAGTTGAGCTTAAAGAAACAAGTAGGGATTCATACTGCCGACCCCAACTTTGTTTGGGACCGAGGCATAGCTGTTGAAGAAACTGAATTGAACTTGATTCGGAGAGCTCTGTTAAAAGTTGGTTTTATCTTGTAATCCTTTAATTTGATCAGGACTGATGATCTAAGCCAGCTGTACCAGTAATTAGCTGTCACTTTCATAACCAGAAAAACTGTTGTATAAATGACATGAGCTATTCATCTTGTGTGTTCCGACTAGTCTCTTAGAAAAAATAAATGTAGCTAGAAGTCGCTCGAGCTTGATGTCTCCAATAAAATGGTGAGGGACCTGCAACCCAAGATAACATTCCAAGAAAAGACACTAGTCTGATAACTTGATTAAATCCTGCATGAAAATACGTTAGAGCTAATCCCTTTGTGTTGTGAAAAGAATTTTAAAGCAGTAGACATTATCTTCTTTTGCAGGTCTTGACAGATGTGGACCACTGTTATTGTGTACTTCTAAATGCACATGATGGGGCTGCATTTCCAAGTGAGAGAGCGCTGCGGGAGAGCAGTTCTTGTGATACTTCTTCCTCAAAGAGTGACACTAGTTCTGGAAAAGTACGGAGGTCAAAGGTTCAAAATCCTACTTCAGTCTGCTGTATTTTGTATTTATTGAAGAATTAGCATTTCGTGAAGTTTTATCATTTTTATGAATATGAAGGAGAGGCCGTTTTACTGACCTGCCTCCCAAAGGAAATTATCAAAAGGAATTAGCTAGCTCTGAAATGGTAAAAGAAAAGTTTCATCTGACCTAATTTAACTTCCATCTTAGTAAATATGCCAAAGCATCTATTTAATTCTTCAAAGTGCAAGGAACTTTGAGTTCATCTTCTCTTTAGCTTTCAGCTTTCTCAAATATATATTTTTAGGTCCTTATATATTGGACATATCCTGCAGAATGTATCTAGCATAGTTTTCAGAATGTTTAGTTTTTAACTTTTTAAACGGTTTGTGATGTGATTTCAGATCACTCTGTTCTCAGGCTTCATTAGCTATGAAATGGTCCGAGATGCATACGATGGTAAAATGTACTCTTCCAATATGTAGTCTTATGATTGGTTGCAGCATTATAGATCTTTCCTATGTCCTGGTATTCAAGTTTCCTTCAATCAATTCATATGCCAAACTGGTGGACAAATGAGATTTTTCTACTTGTCATGCTCCTATTGCACTGATCAAACTGATCTCTATGATAACTCTTACTAGATTGATTTGCTGAGATTTAAGTGAGCTACAATCAAAGGAGGCTCCTGTATTTGTGTGATTTCACTTTGAAATATGATTTGCCACCCAAGACTCCAATATGATCATCAGGAGGTGGAGAAATACAGTGCCAATTGCAGCTACTTAACAATTAAGTAAATAAATAAGGTGTAGAATAGAAGAATGGTATAAAAATCTTACAACAATAAGAAAAAGGAATTTGTTTCGCTCCTGGCGCCTGCAGGGGACAAAAGCTTGGATATAAGATGGCTGTTATCTCTGATTATTTATTAGCTCGGAAACTTGCAAGTTGCAAGTTGCAAGTTGCAAGTTACTTGTCTCCGCCTCTTTTTATGTTTTCGTGAACCTTAATTGCAAATCTATTCTCATAGTAGATACATGATGTGAAGGCTAAAATCCTATTGACCAAAGTAACCCTGGGAAATTGGCCCTAGCAATCAAAGTGCCCCCGGGAAACTTTTTTTCTGTGTGGATCAGAAAAGAAAGAAAATCTGTATGCCTCAACTCAAGTTATGCAGTTTAAGATTTTGGAAAACAGTATATTTGAGAGCTTAATGCCACAATAAAAGTCTCTCTAGTACTCATGTTTATGTAGCAACTGGGACTTGTTAGCAGAGGAATTACTTACTTTTAATTTTCAATTGCAGGGTGATTTCTTGGTTAAGTGTTATGTCAGTTTTGTCTTAAAAGGGATTTTGGCACTCTTGTTCTCAATTTATTTATTTTTCACAGATGGAAGATCTGGATTGGGGAGCCTTCTCTCGCTTAATTCTTCTGGGAAAACAGACCGGATCTATATGAAGGGTCCTGGAGGACGCGGAGAAGTTGAAGTAGCTGTTTCTGGTGTTGTAGGTAAATTAAGAACCAATTTCTGCTTCATCCTACCATATTACAAATTTGATCTCACTTTTCTGGCATGTGGTAAGTTAATATTTTGTATAAAAACCTTGTTTGATCTATAGTTTACAAAGTAGTTTGGTATATCATCTTAATGTTATTGGTTGATATAAAACTCTAATAAGGTATTTCATCAGATGTCATTGGAATTAAAAAAAAAGAATGGTTTTATAGTGACCAGAACCCATGTAATTTGGCACTGTAGTTTATTTCTTGCAATTTCGACGCATGTTAACTGTATCACCTCTTTTATGCTGTTGATATGCTACTTCTGCTCTCTTCTACTAATTGAGCTAGAAGTTGTTTCTTAATTTGTTTTGATCGAGACAAGTTTTGTGTGGTAGGTGCTAACCTTATACTGCAATTGAATGTATTTAATTGTTTATACTTTTCCTCAACCCTTGTGCAATAAGTGTGCATAATAGGTTCCTTGTACCCTTTGCATGTAGATACATCAAGTGTGTCTCATTTTGGAATGTGTTTCAGATCAAAGTAAGCAGGACTCTGGCCATCATTCTACAAAGGGGTTGAGCTTTGGTGTAGTTGTTCGAAGAGCAGCATCAGTTGCATCGATGGCAGCAAAGCATGCTTATGCTGCTGCTTCTGCTACCCCGTGTCCTGATGGAGGATTGATCCCCCTCAAGTGCTGCTTGATGTCCATATCATTACCATGGGAACATATTGCTCATGATCTGTTGTTTAAGGTGAGAATTCATGTCAAAGACGTCGTCATTGTCCAATTAGAGCTCATATCATTGCTATGGCCTCTCATTAATGTTTCTATTATTTCATATCTCAGGGAAAGACTCCAGTGAAACTGTAAGAATGCCCATGGATGACTGTTTACAAAACACTATGCTATCTCAATTGATTAATCCAAGTCAGAAGTTTAGACTCCAAGATAGAAAAATTAAAGTAGGTTAGCTCAAGAATGAAACATAAAGGTGTGATGATATATGCATATAAATTCCCATCATCCTTCCCCAGTATTCTGCTCCCCATGCAGGGGAAGTAGATTATGTTCCTGTTATTCAATTTTGTGCTGAATTGATATGGTGCTACTTGGTCATTGGTTCATTGTTTGACAAATGTACATCATTATCTCAGCCCTTTTGGTGGCTATCTGAGATTGTTCCTGTTCTTTTTTTTTTTTTTTTTTTAATATTTATCTTTTTTTTTATGGGGAGGGGTTAGATTAGTGTCTGCATATTTTTTAGCGGCCAAAAATGGAGTTTTATTTTGTTTGTGTTCTGGTTTTGTTTTTGTTTTTTGTTTTTTCTTTTACTACAGGTGTTTGAAGTTTCTAATATTTTCGCCGGGTATTCTTTTGGGACCTGGTTGTTTACTTTTTGACGTCCAGCTTATACTTTTTGCATCGTATGGACCCCCTCCTCCTCCTCTTTCCTGCTTTTGCTTCTTACTCGTTCTCCAATAAACTTTATTCGTGATCTATTTTCTCTTATTTCCGTATTGCAGAGGAAAGTCTAGTTTATATAGGCAATCCACACCTCTTTATCTGTTTATGTGAATTGTGTATTTTCAAAGGTGAGCATTATATACAGATTCTTTCAAGTTGAAACAATATCATATTTTTAAATTGGCAGAACAGAACACATAGTTTACTCCGACCTTGACACCAAATCCATGTAACACACCGATCGATCACGGGCAACCTTTTAACTCAACCTTTCAAATAGTGTCACGACCCAAATCTCATCGGGGTCGTGATGGAATAAATTGTGCCATAATATTAACTGCAAGGCATAAACTATCGTGCCATAATAGTATCAACCGCATGGTATAAACCACATATCAACCTAAGTCCATATTTGAAAACCATATGCAGGGACGCATACGAACGAGAAATAAACATGTATGATGCATATGGACAAAAAAATAATTATGTACGGATGTATGCATTAGGACAAGTATGACTACGGGTACAACATGCCTAATAGACAAAATAGCCCATCATGTCCGAATAAATAATCAAAAGCCCAGACATGATCTCTAGCATGAATAAGGTTGTTCAAGTAGTCATACAAACAAATAAAGCATATAACAAGAAGAACATGTACCAAAATAAGGCATAAAGAAACCTAAAATCTACCCCAAATATGGTATAACCTCAGTATCCGTATGTACGTTCGTCACCTCGCATATACGTCATCCCCAAACACGTGTATTTATCATGCAAATCCATTTAAGGAAACTTTTCTGAAATCGAGGTTAAGCAACACACTTACCTTTCCGGGCTAGCTCTATTCTTCAAAATTCGTCTTTTCTAGCTCCAAATCCATCAAGCGAGCCCAATTTAGCCCAAATAATGCTCAAGAAAGTCAAATAAAGCTATAGAAACCAACTCCAAACGATAAAACTTTAATCTTTAATCAATTCTCAAAGTCAACAAACAGTCAACCCAGGCCCACACGGACAAAACTCGAGACCAAGACTAAATTCCGGTGACTCACAACATAACGAGTCCAAATATGTGATTAGTTTTCAAATACGAGTCCAAATCGGTATTCAAAACCTTAAAATACACTTTCCTAAATTCTAGACAAAATTTCCAATTTTTCTTGTTCGATTCAATTTGATGTTAGACCTAGTGATAGATTTATAATAAATCATAGAATTTGGTTAGAATCACCTACACCAAGTTGTGGATGAAGATCTAGGTCAAAATCTCCCAAAACGAGCTTCAAAGTTGAGAAATGAAATAAAAATTATGAAACTCGTCCTTAAATAGTTCTTAGAAGCTATTGTAAAAAATGTGCTCAATGATTCGTGAAATAGGCATGCGACTCGCAAAACTGGTATGTGAATTGCAAGACAAGCCGTAGAATGGTCCATACTATTTTAGCGCTGCCACTCCAATAAAATATTCATAACTTCTTGGACAAAAGTTGGAATGATGAACGGTTTGAATCAGTAGAAACTAGACGCAAAAAGCTACAATCTCATTAAAACTTCATCCCAGAATTCTCTTGTGAGATCAAGCCAACTGCAGAAAAGTTCTACTACAACAGTCCAAAACTGTCAAAACTTGTCCCAAACGTGTCGAAACTCTCTCAAGTACTCCGGAACCTTATCCAATCATTCCATATAGTCCTTATACACTATAAAAACATGTTCAAGGGCTCAAAATACATCTAGAAATATCACAACTAAGAATCAAGATCCTGACCAAAATATGAACTTTCTTAAGTTCTTTAAGTTCCAATTTCCACAAGATAGGTTTGAACTATACCCAAGACCCTCGGGTCACCTTTAAACCATTCCAACAATTCTAAATAACCTATATGGACTTACCTAAAGGCTTGAAACCCGGAGAAAATGAAATATTATAAATGTCAATTCCAATTCAAACTTATGAACTCTTTAAGTTTTTCAAATTGTCAACTTTCAACCAAAAGCGCTACATCCATCAAGGTCCACCTGAGACCCGATTCAAACATGTGTACAAGTCCAAAGTCGTCATACAAACCTACCGGAACCTCCATATCAACAATCCGAGTCTGTTTATCCAAGGTTTTGAGTTTGATCAACTCTCTTAACTTAAGGCCTCTAATTAGGAACTGAGTGTTTCATATCACTCCCAAACCTCCGTAACCCAAACCAACCATAAATGCTAGTTATAAAACATCGTATGAACCTACTCAAGGTCTCAAGTCAAAGAATGGGATGCTAGAACTCAAAATGACCGGCTGGGTCGTTACATTCTCCCCCACTTATATGTATGTTCATCCTTGAACGTGATAATAATCATTTTGAAACCGTCAAACAACTATATAAACTCATCACACATATTCTTGAGAGTGATCTCATGTCACCTCAATCTAGGTAACTTCGTTAACACATCTTGACTGAAGATTCCTCCTTCAACCTTAACTTATAAGCCTATAAACCCAACTTCAATATCCAGATCTTCCTTCAAAATCGGATTATTATATATATTCACTGTATAAATCTCAATAACCTGTATCGAGTCATAAGTGAACTATCAGAACGCAAGTACATGAAATATCTCACATCCTTTATATCCATAATCATACCTATTGGTCTCAACAACTGCTCATTGCAAATCCAGTACTAGTCAAAATACCCTAACTAAAATAGATTAGTATTCCAAGCCTTCACAATACTGTTATTGATGAAAGAAACCCGTAGAAACTCATAAGCACCCATCATATCAACAAGTCATGTATTTCTCTCGTCCAGTAAGAATCATTGCATGTTCTGAGCTACTTAATAGCATTTTTCTTTCAAACATACCTTATCCAAATGCGATTGCTCTAATTCTAGGTCCTTTAACTTTGTTTCATCTGATGCAAGTTGCTCGACCGATAAGCCGCACCAAATTCCACATGGAACCTCAAACGATAAGGTTTGGGAACCATACAAGTAATATCCAAATATATCAAATCTGCAGAAAAGCAACTTATCGCCCAATGACTCCCTGATTCTGTAATATTCTTTTTCGACAAGTCTCTAAGTATCTATACAACTTACTCCATCTGTCTATTATGCAACGGTTATGCAAATTCAATCCAACTCAACTCGTGCACCCAAACCACCTGACATAACTACCATAATCACGTGGTGAACTGTCACTCTATCAGATCTGATGAATGTCACAACCCAAAATATCACAAAAATCCATGATGGCGCCTAACACGCTCGCTAGGGAAGCCAACACTCACATCGACAACAAAATTCAATTATTAAGGCCATTAACTGATTAATAATATAAATAGTAGAGCAGAATATGACATAACTCAAATATAAAATTTGCATAAATATCAGACAGGGTCTAAATATCACGGCTATCTCAAAACTCTCCCAAAATTAGGGTGTCAACTAGTCACAAACATCTAACAAGAGTACAAGATCTCAACTCAATACAATATTTGTCCGGAATGAAGATACATAAACAAATATATAAAAGAGCAAGGAAGGGGGGAAATCCATGTGTTGCGGATTGAACCAAGTAACCTACTGCAAAGTCTTCTAAAATAGTACTCTTACTTTGCTAGGTGAATACCACCTAAATAAGTCTCATAACCTGCACAAATGTGCAGAAGTGTAGTATGAGTACAAAATACTGTCCTCAATTAGTATCAAATCTTGCCTCGAAGAAGTAGTGGCGAGAGGTCAATGGCCATACCTAATAACACCTCAATAATTATAAGAGGCATACACAGCGTATGGACTAAAGCATGATATCATGAATCAAAGCCACCAATTGAACACAATAAAGCTGGAATATAAATATGCTTTTTAAATAGGAGATATCACACAATATGAGATATCTGAAATCTCTTACAATCATGGGATGAGTCAATCGGCAGTCATATAAAAATAAGAGCAATTGCATGAGTCTATGCTACCAATGCAAGCTCACAATCCAATACTGTCACGACCCAAATTTTCCTCCGTTCGGGTATCGTGATGGCACCTAGTCTTAGGGACTAGGTAAGCCTAACTCATACTGTAATACCACAATAATAAATGTAATTTAACAGTCTTGAAGTAGGAATCTCTACAAAATTTATAATTCCCAAAACCCGATAGTACAAGTCATAAGCTCTACAGAGTTTTGCTATAACTTCTAAACACAACCGTATGGAAATAAGTACAACAGTGTGAATATAAAATAGGAAGGTGACTCCGAAGCCTGCGAACGCAGCAGCAGCGCTACCTTGAGTCTCCTTGGCAAGAATCCGCACAACTACTATCGAACAATACCTGGATCTGCACAAAAAAATGTGCAGAAGTGTAGTATGAGCACACCACAGCGATGCCCAGTAAGTATCAAGACTAACCTCGGTGAAGTAGTGACGAGGAACAGTCAAGTCACCCACTGGTCTAATACGCAGAACAAGTATAAGTATAGAAACAACCGAACATGATGTCTATATAAAGACTAAGCGATATTACTGACAATACAATAACTACAATAAGGAAAGAAAATAGCAAGTAACAACGGAACACCATAATAAAGCCGATAAAAGTGAACGGAAATACAACCCAAATCCGAAACCACAAAATACAGTAAGGACAAACCATAACTCAACAACTACGGTAGTTTTCACATTAGGTCATAGCCAACAAACTTCAATCAATTAGTCAAATCCTTCAGTTGA